CAGACACAGAGTCTCGTGCTCGGAAGAGGCGTGGAGCACCTGAGTCGGCGCGGAATAAATCACGAATCGGGTTCAAGGGCGTCCGCGGGCACGAGATGAGAACAAGCTGGACCCTCGCTCTCGCGGGAGCAGCCGCGACTTAGCAAGGCCTTCATGTGTGCGGGGAGACGGAGAGGGGGGGTGAGGAAGGGGAGGGAGAGAAACAGGAGAGAGTGACGGAAGAAAGAGTGTCAACAGGAGGGAGGGGCGGGGGGGAGACGTTGGGGGCAGGGGAAGGAGAGAATGAGAAGTAAGAGAGGGAAGGGTAGAGAGAAAGGGGGTGGGGAAGTAGGAAGGCACGAGAGTGGAGAGAATAGAGTTGGTAGACAGAGGATAGAGAGGGGGGAGACAGGCAGTGGAACTAGAGGAGGCGGCAACGGCTAAAGCAGAGAGACTTTGACTTTTAAACAACTTTTTATTGCCGCCAACAGCAACGGCACTGGAGGCGATTCTGATATGAAATACACAAAGCCACCAGCAAACAAACTAATAATCGCTATAAATCCACGCGCTGTGGCGCTAAATCCAGAGCGCACAACACGAAAGAAAAGGGCGACGAACCCCAACATTAGGGTGGGTAGAATAATACATAGTGTTATATTAAAATGGATAAGGCAGCAACTGCAACAGCAGCAGCAACTGCAACAGCAGCAGCAACTGCAGCAGCAGCAGAAACTGCAGCAGCAGCAGCAACTGCAGCAGCAGCAGTAACTGCAGCAGCAGCAGCAGCAGCAACTGCAGCTCCCTTTGATGCTGTTAATCCTGCATAATGCACATGCATATGTAGTACTAATCACATTACTGCATTTCCCACAAATATGCTAAATTCCTCTTGATATGCAAATTCCTTTGTCAAGGCGCCCAGCTTATATATATGCTCCAAGCTCGTGTGCTGTTTCATTCAGACTCTGTCGCCTCGACGGACCTGGTTTTCACCTGAGGACGGCTGCTTGTGTTGTGGCCGAAAAGTCGTGAGAATAATTTTATTTTGTTTTATTTGTATTATTTTATTACTTCCCTTCTACGTGACTTTACCGAAAGAACCAAGAAGAGGGACCCCAACATCTTCAGGGGCTGGTGAACGTGCTCGTCGGCTACGCCAAGCTCGCCATGCACAGGGCGAGGAAGGTGGCCCTGGAGGGGAAACGTCCGGCCAGCAGCCTGGGCATCTTCCGCGCTCTGGTCGGAGCCAGGGTGTGTGGGCTGGAGTTCCGCCATGCGCGGCTGCTGACCCACGCCGTGCCGGCCTTCAAGGAGCAGTGGGCGATGGAGGCGGCCGTGTGCTTGGTGGCAGATGACGGGGAGCTCTGCGTGCTGTTATGAGCTACCCGTCGGAGGCCGTTGGACTGCGAGAAGGGCTGCGTGCAGAACGAGAGAGAGCGAGAGAGTGGTGAGTGTGGTGAGTGTGGCGAGTGTGGTGAGTGTGGTGAGTGTGGCGAGTGTGGTGAGAGTGGCGAGTGTGGCGAGAGTGGCGAGTGTAGTGCGAGAGGTGGGGGGTTACATAAAGCAAAGTTATAAAAAAAATTAAATTACGAATGAAGCAAAGTGCCGACTACACCGAGCATCTTCTTGTTTCCTCTGATCGTAAATAAAGAGAGAGAAGAGAGAGAGTGGGGTACACGGGGAAGGAGCTGGCGATAGAGAAAGAGAGAGATTAGAGGGGCTGGAGTAGGAAGAGAGAGGAGAGATGAGAGAGAGTGTTGGCAGATGCTCGAGTGGTGGGTGGCGGGCACGGCTCTGCCCGCTCTGCCCTCGGTCCGTGGACCAATCACAGAGCTCCTCGCGACTCCTCCTCGCGCCGTCTGGGGGGTCGTCGAGTATATTTATTAAAATGTTCCATCGTGTTATTACAATTATCATTTTTTGTTAAGTATGTAACAGGAATAACACCCGTGTTTGAAAAACGTACTCAGCCGTGGTGGTGCTGGTGGCGATGGGGTTTTTTTAAATATTAAATTAAGCTTCCGAGAAATGTTGGCAGTTTCTCGGCGAATAATTCATTTAGTTTAACCGCATCCTGAAACTTAAAGCAGCGGCAGCAGCAACAACAGCAACAACAGTAGCAGCAACAGCAGCAGCAACAGCAGCAGCAACAGCAGCAACAACAGCAGCACCAAAAGCAGTAATAGCGTGTGTAGCAGCAGCAGCAGTAGCAGCAGTCGTAGCAGCAGCAGTAGCAGCAGCAGCAACAACAGCAGCAGTAGCAGCAGCAACAACAGCAACAGCAGCAGTACCAAAAGCAGTAATAGCGTGTGTAGCAGCAGCAGCAACAGCAGTAGCAACAGCAACAGCAGTCGTAGCAGCAGCGGCAGACGGCGTGGACATGCGGCCACATTCTCAAGACGCCGCGCGGAGTGAGAGAGGGCACGGGTCGCTGTGCGGAGAGGCAGTCGGCCATCGGCAGGGCGAGACGGGGACTAGTCTGGGGCCCGGCAGTCAACAGCACGGACCGTGGGGAGAAGACATTCCAGACAATGGGGGCAGCAGAGGAGAATGAGCGACCTCCCGCTGAGCAATGGGGGGGAGGGGAGGGCTTTGACGGGAGCTTTTGGTTGCTGGAGCGGAGAGAGAGAGAGAGAGTCAGCGTCGGTGAGCCGAGTGAGATGGGAGCAGGGTGAGGTGGGAGCAGGGTGAGATGGGAGCAGGGTGAGGTGGGAGCAGGGTGAGGGGGGAGCAGGGTGAGGTGGGAGCAGGGTGAGGTGGGAGCAGGGTGAGGTGGGAGCAGGGTGAGATGGGAGCAGGGTGAGGTGGGAGCAGGGTGAGGTGGGAGCAGGGTGAGATGGGAGCAGGGTGAGGTGGGAGCAGGGTGAGGTGGGAGCAGGGTGAGGTGGGAGCAGGGTGAGATGGGAGCAGGGTGAGGGGGGAGCAGGGTGAGGGGGGAGCAGGGTGAGGTGGGAGCAGGGTGAGGGGGGAGCAGGGTGAGGGGGGAGCAGGGTGAGGGGGGGGAGCAGGGTGAGGGGGGAGCAGGGTGAGGGGGGAGCAGGGTGAGATGGGAGCAGGGTGAGGGGGGAGCAGGGTGAGATGGGAGCAGGGTGAGGAGGGAGCAGGGTGAGGTGGGAGCAGGGTGAGATGGGAGCAGGGTGAGGAGGGAGCAGGGTGAGGTGGGAGCAGGGTGAGATGGGAGGCAGGGTGAGGGGGGAGCAGGGTGAGATGGGAGCAGGGTGAGGGGGGAGCAGGGTGAGGGGGGAGCAGGTGAGATGGGAGCAGGGTGAGGGGGGAGCAGGGTGAGGGGGGAGCAGGGTGAGGGGGGAGCAGGGTGAGATGGGAGCAGGGTGAGGGGGGAGCAGGGTGAGGGGGGGAGCAGGGTGAGATGGTAGCAGGGTGAGGGGGGAGCAGGGTGAGGGGGGGAGCAGGGTGAGGGGGGGAAGCAGGGTGAGATGGGAGCAGGGTGAGGGGGGAGAGACAGGGTGAGGTGGGCGCAGGGTGATGGGGGGAGCAGGGTGGATGGGAGCAGGGTGAGGGGGGGAAGCAGGGTGAGGTGGGGAGCAAGGGTGAGGTGGGAGCAGGGTGAGGGGGGAGCAGGGTGAGATGGTAGCAGGGTGAGGGGGGAGCAGGGGTGAGGGGAGAAGCAGGGGAGGGGGGGAGCAGGGTGAGGGGGGAAGGCAGGGTGAGGGGGAGCAGGGTGAGGAGGGAGCAGGGTGAGGGGGGAGCAGGGTGAGGGGGGAGCAGAGGTGAGGGGGGAGCAGGGTAGAGAAGGGAGCAGGGTGAGGTGGAGTCAGGGTGAGGGGGGAGCAGGGTGAGGGGGGAGCAGGGTGAGGAAGGGAGCAGGGGTGAGGTGGGGAGCAGGGTTGAGGGGGGAGCAGGTGGAGGGGGCGCAGGGTGAGGATTGGGAGCAGGGTGAGTGGGGGGGGGGGAGCAGGGTGAGGGGGGGAGCAGGGTGAGGGGGGAGCAGGGTGAGGAGGGAGCAAGGTGAGGGGGAGCAGGGTGAGGGGGGAGCAGGTGTGAAGGGGGAGCAGGGTGAGGGGGAGCAGGGTGAGGGGGAGCAGGTGAAGGGGGAGCAGGGTGAGGTGGGAGCAGGGTGAGGGGGGAGCAGGGTGAGAAGGGAGCAGGGTGAGGGGGGAGCAGGGTGAGGGGGGAGCAGGGTGAGGGGGGAGCAGTGAGGGGGAGCAGGGTGAGGTGGAGCAGGGTGAGGGTAGAGGGTGAGGGGGGAGCAGGGTGAGGGGGGAGCAGGGTGAGGGGAGCAGGGTGAGGGGGGCAGGGTGAGGGGGGAGCAGGGTGAGGTGGGAGCAGGGTGAGGGGGGAGCAGGGTGAGGGGGGAGAGGGTGAGGGGGGACAGGTGAGGGGGGAGCAGGGTGAGGGGGAGCAGGTGAGGGGGGAGCAGGTGAGAGGGGAGCAGGGTGAGTGGGGGAGCAG